ACATTCAGGGCCTTCTCCTGCTCTGTGCTCAGGGATCACTCTTGGCAGGGTTCAGGAGCCCCTATGTGGTGCCAGGGACTGAAGCCAAACTGGTTGCTTGCAAGGCAGGCACCCTACCTGCTGTACCATCACCCCGACCGCTATACTAAAAACACACGGTCTGTCAAAGATTGATCCCCAAACTCTTTTTTTTTCTGGGGGGTAAGTGATGCTCAGGAATTACTCCTGGTGGTGCTTGGGGGACCATATGGGATGCTCAGGATCAAACCCCATCGGCATGAGCAAGGCAAGCGCCCTTCGTACAGTACCATCTCTCTAGTCCCTGGGACAATTTCTGGATGTGTCCATATAGGATTTTTCTTTTCTGGTGGGCTGGGGGGCAGTGTTGAACCACAGCCACTGGTGCTCAGGGACTATTCCAGGCTCAGTGCTCAGGAGTGATCCCTGACGATGTTCAGGGGGTCCTTACTTGATGCCTGGGATCAAACGAGCACCAGACACGTGCAAGGCCAGTGCCCTACCCCCGTACTATCTCCAGCTCCAACTCTGGGTTTTCTTATCAGAACTTACCTTCTTCACAGCTATCAAACATTATTTGCTCGTGCAGACTTAGTCTGAGTCTTCAGCCCTTCATCCGTCTGGGTTTGCTCCCCCCACCCGATGCGGCAAGAGCACGTGAACCCGGTCAGGCTTGCCAAACCATCCAGCTGTTGGTAGAGAAAACGGGGACGGGGGGGCGGGGAGGTGAAGAGCACCCAGAAGGCCGACAAAGCAGCTGTCACCCTGGCTCTGAGTGGGAGTTTCCTACTCCTGATTCCTAAAATAAAAGTCCGACCCCGTTGAGAGGAACTCTTCCCGGAACAGAAGAGAGACGGACCAGAACAGATGCGCTGACCCATTGGGCGCCCTCCCATCACTGGTCAGAGGGGCTGAGTCCGAGTCAAGGTCACAGAGATGACCAGGAAGGTCGGGGCAGAGCCCGCTGATGCTTCACGAGGGCCCAGTGCCCTGCCCAACATGGCAAGAAAGTCAGACTGGCCCCTGGCTCTTTTTTGGGAGGGGGATGAGGAAGTCTAGGGGGGTCATGGGCACACCCCGGACTCAGGGCTCACTCCTGGCTGTGCTTGGGGGACCCCAGGTGGTGGTGGGGATCGAACCTGGGTCAGTCGCATGCCAGGCAAGTGTCCTCCCCATTGTGCCCTCCCGGACTGGCCCCTGGGTGCAGGGGAGTGCGTGTCTCGAGACAGGGCCCATGTGAGCCTGTGTGGTTCCCGCCCTTGGCCCTCTCCTCCGCTTGGTATCATGGTTCTTTGAGCCTCCAAGAACTTTTCAAGGTCTGTAAGAAGGGACCAGTCCTGCTGGAGTGATAGCACAGCGGGGAGGGCGTTTACCTTGCACGCGGCCGACCTGGGTTCGAATCCCAGCATCCCATAGGGTCCCCTGAGCACCGCCAGGAGTAATTCCTGAGTGCATGAGCCAGGAGGAACCCCTGTGCATCGCCGGGTGTGACCCAAAAAGAAAAAAAAAAAAAAAGAAGGGACCAGTCCTGACCTTACCTGGCATTCAGAGGCAGGCTGGGTCTTGCCGGAAAAACCCTCCAGCTCAGAGATGGGACAAATTGATCCCTGCAGCCCCAGCTCCCCAGTCTGTGGTCCCTGGACTGCAGGACCTGCTGGAGGGGGCCCTGGCATGTCCCCCAACCACCACCACACCACACCCCCGCCCCTTCCCGGTTCTTGGCAGCAACTCGGGAGGGTTGGTCGCTGCAGATGGCAATCGGGGAAGCTGGTGATTTCAACACCCCTGGGAGGTGCCAAGCAGGTCAGGCTGGTGAGCGAGTGGGCACAGGCCCTTGGGGCGAGAAGTCGGTGGGGGGGACTTTTCTGCCTGGCCCCCAGAGCTGCTCTTCCCTCTTCCTTCCAGCCTCCCCCCCCCCACCACAGACGACTGCTCCCAAACTGGCCCCCAAGTCCCAGACGTGGTTGACGGTCGTGGGCTGGCAGGCATGGGGCCCGGCGGCTATCCCAGCGTGAACATGACCGACAGGATCCTGATTCAAGCTAGAGTGAACCACGGCCCAGAAACGCCTCATCTGTCAGGACGGGGGGCTGAGAGACACTCGGGCTGCCCTGTCTGCGGCCCGGGGTCTGGCGCGGGGGCCGAGGAAGGAACACACAGACACAGGAGCTCTGGCTTGGGGGTCTTTATTACCCCCCCCAACGCCCCCATTCTGCTGACACACTCGCTCTTCCTCCTCACAGTGGCAAGACACGATCGAAATATAATCAGGTGGCGGTACATGGCACACGAGGACCCCACCCCACTGCGCCACAGACGCCACCTGAGGGGGGTGAGCTGGGAGCACAGGGGTGTCACCCTAGACGCATGGGCAGCACCGGAGCCACGCACCCTTCTCGGAGACAGGAAGTCCAGGCCGACAGCAGAGCTGGAGCCCAAGGGGCGTGGAAACAAGGGTCCCCGCTTTCTCTTGGGCCCTCAATTTTATAATCTAGGCAGAGGAGGGGGGGAGCCCCTGGGAGATGTACTGGGGTGTCCGAGGCGTCGTCCCTCTCAGTGCTAATAGACAATCCTGTTTTAGGGGTGCAGAAGGAGCCGGGCTGGGCAGCCATCAGGAGTGGTGCCCCCCACACTGCCATCTCAGCAGGGCCATGCAGGGGGGCAGCACGGGCACCAGGACAAGGTGGACGCATCAGAGGGAGCAGAAGTGGCAGGAAAGGGGTCTCTGGCCTGTCGGCTGCCCGCACAGCGCTGAGCCCAAAGCTGATGAGAGAACCGTCTGGAGACTCAAGTACGAGAAACCAACTTCCAGAGGCCCCGGGTCAGCAGAATCCACACCTGATGGCGTCCAGGGGCTGCTCCCAAGGATCAGGGGGTTCCTCGGGGAACCGCACTGCGCCAGGGACGGAACCCGGGGTCTTCTGCAGAGTATGACCCCAGCCCACTGGACCACCTCTTCGTCCCTCCCAACCTCATTCTGGGGTGTGGGGGGCGTTGGCCACATCCAGCAGTGCTCAGGGCTTATTCCTGGCTGTGCTTAAGGGTCACCCCTGGTGGTGTCAGGATGGGGTGCGGGGCTACTGCACCTCTTTGGCTCACTTAGGTTCCCCGGCGACCCCCGTTGTGCCCGCTGAGTCCCCAGCCAGGAGCAGTCCCTAAGCACTGCCAGGTGTGGCTTCCAAACACACCAAGAATCATTTAATAACGTGAGACTTTACTTTTAACACTGTAAATTCCAGAGGGCAAATAATACTAATGATTATAATTAATAATAATAATAATAATAATAATCTCTCCTGGGGCCCATCACATTTGGCCAATGATCCCAAAGCACCACAGAGACACTCCCCAGTACCCAAATCTCACGGCAGATATTTCTGCCACACTTTGGGGTCCGACCGATCTCAGCTTACATCTGATCAGTACACGTTAATCAAGTATAAATACATCTTTTATAGGAAATATATTTTACCCTGAAGCTTCCTGAGCTCCAGCTGGTGGCGTCCAGGGGCTACTCCCAAGGATCGGGGAGTTCCTCAGGGAACCACCTGGTTCCTACCCAGCCTGCCTGGAGTTCAGTCCGCCAACATAGTGTTTAAGAATTAGAGTGGGGGCTGGAGCGATAGCACAGCGGGGAGGGCGTTTGCCTTGCACGCGGCCAACCCGGGTTCGACCCCCGGTATCCCATATGGTCCCCCAAGCACCGCCAGGAGTAAGGAATTCCTGAGTGCATGAGCCAGGAGTAACCCCTGAGCATCGCTGGGTGTGATCCAAAAAGGAAAAAAAAAAAAAGGGATTATGAGGCAAGACCCGGAGTGGGGGCGGGATGGGGGAGGGGGTAAGAGCCTTGAGGACCATCTAACTTGCAAGCAAGCGGCTGGTCTGAGAGCCTTGCGACATCCTGGGAGAGGGAAGCGGGTGCCAGGGCCCTGCCAGCACCCTCCTGGGCAGCAGACCAAAGAAAGACGTGGCCAGAGGCGGGCCGGGGAGAACAGCAGCAGAAGGGGCAGGTCGGAGTGGGGGTGGCCGCTCACGCCACCATTGCACAGGGAAAAATTTTGCCAACAGATTGGCTTCTGGCCATCGGAGGCAGTGGGAGTCGCTTCTCCTTGCACCTCAAAGGTGCCTGGGGCCTGCCTGGGGCCACGGCCAACCCACGGAATCACTCAGCAGAGCCTCAGTGCAAATACGCAGGATGCCCAAGGACGTGGAGGGCTGTCCGAGTCACCCCGACCACGTCTGCTTTCCAGTTTTATCCTGCTCAGGGGGAACTGCCCCGTGGGGTGAAATTTAATACCGCAGAGCCAAGAGCCTGGTGTACAAAAGCAGCGTTCTAAAAACAGCTCAGGCGCCTGGCGCCCAGGCCATGAAGCCTGGTGCGGAGGGCACTTCCGGGAGTTCGGTCCACCCAGAGCAAACACCGCAGTTCTTACGGACAGTGACACGGTCACACGAAACGGGCAGGAATAGGGGACCGCACTGCTGCTCAGACAATACATGACAGCCAGAGACGAGGACGGACATCGCCAATAGTCACTGCAGAAAAATCAGCCACACGCAGCGGCAGCCGGACTGCCAGGCAGCTTGCTCAAAGGCGGCTGCGATAACTAACTGAATTCCATGGTGGGACGAAGACTAGAACCAGACTCATTCCAAGGGACTGGGCGGTGGGAGGCCCGGCTGGGCAGGGCATGGGCCTAGCAAATAAGGCTTTGATTCCCTGCACAAAAAAAGGAAGGAAGGAAGGAAGGAAGGAAGGAAGGAAGGAAGGAAGGAAGAGAAATAGGAAGGAAGGAAGGAATGAAGGAAGAGAAGGAAGGAAGGAAGGAAGGAAGGAAGGAAGGAAGGAAGGAAGGAAGGGAAGGAAGGAAGGAAGAGAAATAAGGAAGGAAGGAAGGAAGGAAAGAAGGAAGGAAGGAAGGAAGGAAGGAAGAGAAGGAAGGAAGGAAGAGAAATAAGGAAGGAAGGAAGGAAGAGAAGGAAGGAAGGAAGGAAGGAAAAGAGAAGTAAGGGGGAGGAGAAGAAAGGAATCAAGAGCAACAGGAAGGAAGGAGAGAGAAAGAGAGAAACCCCACTGGAAATAAATGCTTCTGCAAAACTCGCCAGAGGGAAATATTAAATAACAGCATGAACAGCCATGAAAATGGAAAACTAAATTCAAGAAGAGGATGACGGGGCCTGGTGCACGCCAGGCGGCAGCTTTCCTGCTTGGGTCCCCGGGGACGCTGGGGCTGAGTGGGGCATGCAGGGTGCCCGCCTGCGGTCCCCAGACCCTCCCGTGCTCCCCCTCCCCATGGCCCGGTAACTTCCTCTCCGAAGTGAAGCAGGAGACGAGCAAACCCTCTGCGGGCCGCAGGGGGCCACCACCCGTCTACGCTGGCCACTCTGTTACTTCCTGTACGTGTCCCGCTTGGTGCTGAGGCCGGCACTCCGGGGCGGCAGTCCGGGGGACAGTGGGCTCAGGTACCAGCCGCGGTACGTCCCATACCAGCCCAGCAGCCCGAAGAAGGTGCCGAACACCTTCTGGGACAGGTCGTGGAAGTACACGGCCGTGCACAGGAACATCCCCACCCAGATGGCCGTCAGGCCGCCCAGGGCCACCACGAGCGCCGTGACGGCGGGGCTGGCACCGGGGTCCTGGTCCGGCCGCGCCTCCTGCAGCACGGCCATCTCCTCCACGATCATGAGGATGCAGAAGGACAGCAGGAAGGAGTGGCCTGAGATGTCGAAGCCGTGCCAGTGGCCGCCCGCCCGGAGGCACTGCGACTTGTCCCCGTGCTCCTGCCGGACCTTCTCCAGCGCCGGCGACTGGTAGCAGCTGCCCGTGACGTGCTCGACGCCCGAGAAGACGGCCGTGCAGGCATACCAGTAGGCTGTGCCCACGAGCAGGGTGCTCAGGCGCCGCAAAACCAGGCCGGGCCGGCCCGTCAGGGAGTAGTTGGTGAGGGCGATGAAAGGGAGCAGCAGACAGACCGTCCAGGCCCAGGCCAGCTTGACGAAATACCTGGCGGAGGAAGACAGTGGGCGTGAAGGGGGCACGCGGGGTGGGAAGTCAACAAGAGGGCCGGGGCGACGGGGGCAGAGGGGAGGGGAGTGGCCTTGCACGCAGCTGACTCGAGTTCGGTCCCCAGCCCCCATATGATTCCCCCCAAGGGCTCCACCAGGAGTGACCGTGAGCTCAGAGCCACGAGTCAACCCTCAGCATCATTCAGGTGTGGCCCCAAAACAAACAAACAAAAAACCTCATCAAGCCGACAAGATCTTGACTCCTCTGGGCTAACCACCGTGACCACATTATAATCACTTCATTTCCTCCCGCAGGACTAAACAGCTCCTCAAAGTCCCTAACCACCCGCTGGGAGGCAGGTGCTCCTGCTAAGGGCATGATTATCCCCATTTGACAGAGAAGGAAAACTGAGCCCCGCCTCAGAAGCACCACGCCCAAAGTGGAGGTCCTTGCCAGGGAACTGGAGGTTCAAAATCCCCAGCCTGTGAAACTCAGGCCCAGGTACGGGGGGTCTGTGGATCCTCTGCCGGCCACTTCCTGCTCAGAAAAGTCATCACGGACGCCTTCCAGCGCCAGGGGGCTTTCACACGTGCTCACTTTCCCATTGGAGGTGCTCGACCACCTGGGCAGAAAGGGCTCATTTGCCCCACTAGGCGGCAAATCTAAGTCTCGGAAACACGCTCCATAATTTGCCCAAGGTGACCCTCGCACGGCAGGCCAGCACGGGCCCTGGAGTCTGTGCCCGCCTGCGTGAAGATCCTTCCAGCGTGGCAGATAGGATCCTGGAATGATGCTCACTACCACACTAGCAACCCCTGAGTTTGAATCCTGCCTCTGTGGAACTCACTTCCGCACTTCTTCAGGCCTCCCCACTCCGGCTGGGTTGTCACCCAGACCTGAGGAACTCTCAAGCTCTCTCCCATGAATTAGCACAGAGGCCTGGAACCAAACGCAGGACGTCATGAGTGCCAGCAAACAGGGAACCAGCCTGCCAGGCCTCCTGGCTCTGGGCCCTTGGGCAGCGGCAGAGGAGGCCACAGCCGCCCGCCCTGCCCCACTGCCCGCTGAAGGGGGTGACCTGGGCCCACGGCAGTAAACGCACACCTGAGAGATTTGGGGCCGCTCTGCTCTCCGGGTCTATTTTCATTTGGGGGTGAGGGGTGCATCTGACTGTGCTCAGGGTCTACTCCTGGCTAGAGCTCGAGGTCATTCATGAAGAGCCTTGGGGTGCCAACTGTTGGTGCTGGAGACAGAACCTGGGCCAGCACCCTGCCCTCTGTCCTCTCTCTCCAGCCTCGGTGTTCATACTCTGCGCCCATTCTCCCGGGCTGGGTGGGAAGGAAACTGGACCGATTCTTCCTGGGTCACAAAAACGTTCAAGGAGGGGGATCCTCTTAGCCCCAAGAGCTGCCCAAACCCGGGGTTTCCAGAACTCCCCCCTCTCCCAAGCAGATCCTCGGAGCTGGCTGGCCGGGGACAGAGAGGAACCCACCACGGGGGCTCTCTGGACAGTGCCCGGGAAGGAGGCTCCAGGCGGGCAGAAGCAGAATTCCTCTCCATTAGCAACAGTGACAGTTTGTCTGTTGACTTGGCCGTGCCCAGGATCACCCGGGGGCCACACCCCGGGGCACGGGCGGGCCGAGCGTGCCCTCAACCACCGCGTCCCATCTCCTGCCCCGGCCCTGCGACAGCTTTTTTGCGCAGCAAACTTGGAAAACGCGGGAGCGGGTGGGGGGTGTCGGGAAACAGGCGGGCGAGGGGCAGCGGGTGGAGGGAGGGAGGGAGGGAGGGAGGGAGGGAGGGGCCGGGTCCTGCCCCATGGACTTTGGGCGGCCCGAGCAGGGCCCCGGCGGCCCGGGGTGCGATGGGGTGGGGAGAGATCGGCGCCAGGGGGTCCCGCTCGGAGGGAAGCCAGGGGACAGGGGGAGGGTGGGCGCGGCCTCGAGTGCTTAGGGGGGCTCGTGCCTGTCAACCAGGGCCGGTGCAATCACGGCGTCCCACAACCAGCAGGTGGGGAGGCGGCGGCGACCCCCCCCCCCCCACCAAGGCAGGTCCCAGCTCCGAGGGGGCGCGCGGGTTGCAGCTACCCGGGAGGGTTCGCCCCTGCGCCGCGCCCCCAGACCCCGCTGCACGCGCCCGCCAAATCGGGCTGTCCCGGGGGGCCCCGAGCGCCGGCGACACACGTGCAATCGGCGGCTGTTGCTCCCGGGAGGGCAGCCCCGGGGGACCCCCCACCCACCCCCACCCCCACGGCCTCGCCCCCAGCCCCCAGCCCCCAGCCCCCAGCCCCGCGGGGCGCACTCACACGTTGAGGACGTTGCGCTTGTTGCTCAGGTAGCTCGCGGGCAGCGGCGACAGCTCCTTGACGAGCGAGCCCGCCAGCATGCCGGCCACCAGGGCCCAGGGCAGGTAGCGCCGCGCCGCCGCCCGCGCCAGCGTCCCGCGCACCAGCCACGCGCAGCGTCCCAGGCGGTCCATGCCCGACCTCGCCGGCCACCGTCCGCGGCGCCGTGTGTGCCCTCCCGGCCACCGTCTCCGCCCTTCACACGCCGCCCCGAGAGCGCATGCGCGGCGGCGGCGGCGAGACCCCGCCCCCCCGGGAGTCTCAGGCTCTCACGCTCGCTCACTCGCTCGCGCGCTCCCCCTCCCGGTCACCGGCCGCCTCTGCAGCAGCAGCGCGCGCGGCTTTGGCTCTGCTCTGCTGGGGGGGGGCGGTCCAAAGGAATCAAGGTGGTCGCCGCTCGGTGCAGAACGCAGCTGTGACACCCCCCCCCCCCCCCCGGACCGCGGTCGGTCAGAAGCGACAGAGCCTGGGTTTTAGCATTTATGACACGGGGGCAGAAGGTGTGGCTGAAGTGACTGGGAGGAGAGCCCTTGGGTCCAAGCCCCTAGACCCACGAGCACTGAGTTGGGAGTAGCACCACGGTGTGCCCCTCCTCCCCAACCAAACAATCAACCAATCCACCAACCCACCAACCCACCAACCCACCAACAAACCGGAAGAAAGTGCATTAGAGGGCGTTGGAGCAATAGCACAGCGGGTAGGGCATTTGCTTTTCATACGGCCGACCTGGGTTCGATTCCCAGCATCCCATATGGTTCTCTGAACACCACCAGGAGTAATTTCTGAGTGCAGAGCCAGGAGGAACCCCTGAGCATTGCCGGGGTGACCTAAAAAGCAAAAAAAGTGCATTAGAAGACCCAGTTAAAAATCAACACATGCCATGATTTGGTTTAGGAACTCAGGTTCATTGGGCTCTTTAAACCTATCTGGGGCAGGAGAGATACTACAGTGGGTAGGGCACTTGCCTTGCATGTGGCTGACCCCAGGTTCGATCCCCAGCATCTCATAGGGTCCCCCAGCACTGCCTGGAGTGATCCCTGAGTGCAAAGCCAGGTACCACAAGGCGTCGTCCCCCCAAACAAATAATAACACAAAAAGTCAACCCCTGAAATCTACTGAATAGCTTCTCAATTACCATAGTTGGGGTTGGAGTGATAGTACAGCAAGTAGAGTGTTTGCCTTGCATACAGCTGACCAAGTTGGATGCCCTGCATTCATATGGTCTCCTGAGCCCACCAGGAGTAATTCCTGATTACTATAGCACTGTCGCACTGTCCTCCCATTGTTCATCGATTTGCTTGAGCAGCACCAGTAAAGTCTCCATTGTGAGACTTGTTGTTACTGCTTTTGGCATATCGAATACCTCACAGGTAGCTTGACTGGTTTTGCCGTGCAGGAGACTCTCGGTAGGTTGCTGGGCTCTCTGAGAGGGGCGGAGGAATTGAACCCGGGTCGGCTGCGGCTGCGTGCAAGGCAAATGCCCTACCCACTGTGCTATTGCTCCAGCCCAGAGTCAGGAATAACCCCTAAGCATGATGGGTGTGGCCCCAAAAGGGAAAAAAAATCCGTGGAAAAACAGATTGCGTGTCAAGTGTACTTATTCTACTACAAACAAAATACTTCTGTTGACGTATTTGTCATCTCTAAACTACCTAAGATGAATTCCTCTCCCTACGCCAAGAATAACTACCTCAATTCTGCAGAAAACTAGCCTGATTTATGGCTATGCATGGGTAGGTTAAAATTGTTCCTCAGCCATGATCCAGAGACTCACAAAGAAATCGCGGAAGAGATCAACAAACTGCAGAGATGCCTTCCGGACCCCAAAATCACCATCCGGTTAAAAATTTAACCCCATTTATTTCACCCTATTTAAAATTTTAGAATTCCTGCATTGTGCAACGGCAAATGCTCTATGCTCGTTTCATACTCTGTACCACCAATGGACCAGGAGTAGCACACCACATTGGAGGGGATGTAAAGTAGAAGGCAAATAATCTCAATTAAAAAAATATTAGCACACTTGGGGCCAGAGCGATAGCACAGTGGGTAGGGCGTTTGCCTTGCACGCGGCCGACCTGGGTTCGATCCCTGGCATCCCATATGATCCCCTGAGCACCGCCAGGAGTAATTTCTGAGTACAAAGCCAGGAGTAACCCCTGAGCATTGCTGGGTGTGACCCAAAAAGGAAAAAAAAATTAGCACACAAGGCTCAACCTGTAACATGTTAGTAATCTCTTATACAAGGGCTTAATGACTCCATGGTGAGATACAACAATCTTCAAATTTTTTTTTTTTGCTTTTGGGGTCACACCTGGCGATGCACGGGGGTTACTCCTGGCTCTGCACTCAGGAATTACCCCTGGCGGTGCTCAGGGGACCATATGGGTTGCTGGGAATCGAACCCGGGTCTACCGCATGCAAGGCAAACGCCCTACCCCCTGTGCTATCGCTCCAGCTCAATCTTTTTTTTAAATTTTATTTTTAAAAAATGTTTTAAGTGGCAAAGTTGGCTTATATACCTTTTTTCTTTTTATTTTTAATGAATCACCATGAAGTTCAGTTACAAACTTAGAAACTTTTGTGATTATGTTTCAGTCATACAATGACAGAGTACCCATCCTTCCACCAGTGCCCATTCTCCACAACCAATGTTTCTGGTATCCCTCTTGCCACCCACCCCCACAGTTTCTTCTAAGGAAACTTTTTTGATCATTTTTATCATATTATTCATAACAAGCAATACAAAATAAATCCTTTAGGGCCTGCTTTGGGGACAGGTTTGTGTGGGGGTTGGGAAATTTTGAAATAACGGTGGTGGGAAGGTCTAACGGTGGTGGGATTGGTGTTGGAATATTGAATGCAATAAATTATTGTGTACAGTTTTATAAAAATAAAATAAAAATTGGGGCTGGAGCTATAGCACAGCAGGTAGGGCATTTGCCTTGCACCCGGCCGACCAGGGTTCGATTCCCAGCATCCCATATGGTCCCCTGAGCACCGCCAGGCGTAATTCCTGAGTGCAGAACCAGGAATAACCCCTGTGCAACGCCAGGTGTGACCTAAAAAGAAAAAAAATAATAAAATAAAATAAAAATTTAAAAATTTGCACCTGAGGTCTAGAGACATGGTTAGAAGGATTGAGCCCAAGTCTTGCACAAGGGAGTCCCAGGTTCCATCCTAGCCTTGCCTGCTTCCCTGAGTACTGCCAGGGACAAAGTTCAGAGCCGGGAGAATCCCCAAGCACCACTGAATGTGGTCCCAAAACCAAAAAAATAAAAACCAACAAAATCAATACTAAAAATGAAAATTCCGTGGCAATTAGACCAGTGTGGTTATTTGTGATGAAAAATAAGAACAATACGGGGATGGAGGGAGTTGCTATTTGCAAAGGCAGCTTGTAAAGAGTACCACAGATACTTCTAGAAATAAAAGAGAGATTTATGAAACCGTTTCTGTCTCCGCAAGGTGTCCAAGTCCCCAACTAATGTTCCTTTCTGTAACAAACCACACAGTGCTTATGAATAGGGAATGCACTGGATGTGGTTAGCTAGGGGACCCTCCCGTGACAACCCAGGAGCTGATGCCCTACCCCAAGGAAGGAAGGGGACTCAGGTGCTAGATGAACGAAAACTCTAGACCAAACCCGGAAAAAAATCCAAATCCAAAAATTACCTTGAGACATTAGCAGAGGGTCCCATAGACACTCTGGAGGAGGATATGGTGGTGTTGGGACATCGCATGCATGAAACTTTATCATAAATTATGATATCTGAATTAAAATGGGGGGATGTACCCTGTGAACATTTCAGGATATGTAAAAACGTGAATATTTCAGGATTTGTATATCTGTAGAAAGGAAATGGGTCTGTTCTGTTTTGAGACTATGCAACTTCACCCTGAAGATTTTTGAAGACTGCCTGAAACCCAGATGGAAAATATTTGAAGTCTCGAGTTTGTTTTGGTTTTGGGTTTCAGTTGTCGGGCGCCACCCTGTGGTGCTGAGGGGTTACTTCCGGCTGTGTGCTCAGGGATCACTCCTGGCAGCGCTCAGGGGACCATAAGGGATGCTGAGGATCGAACCTGGGCTGGCCGTGTGCCAGGCAAGTGCCCCACCCACTGTACAACTTCTCCAGCCCCCCTCTGGAGAAGTTTCCTTTTTTTCCATTTTAAACTTCAACACATGTTAGAAAATAGTCATATTGTGAGTGTGCTGCAGCCAATACATAGGGGTCTGGGAGAACAGATTGTTAAATGTTCAAGATTTTTGCAAACTGATCATTAAACAGTCATTATTAAAACAATTACTCAAAGCTGATCATTCCCTTTGCATGTTGTTACATATCATTATTATCTACGCTCCTGGGTTTTCTTATATGTCTTTGTGGCTCATTTAATGAATACAATTCAGGGTTAGTTCATGGCTTTTTGTTTTGTTTTTGGATCATGCCCAGATGTGCTCAGGGCTTATTCCTAGCTCTGCACTCAGAGATCACTCCTGGCGGGGCTCAGAGGACCATATGGGATGCCAGGGTTCAAACCAAAGTGGGCGCGTGCAAGGCAAATGCTCTACCAACAGTGCTCTCGACAATCCACATGAAATATTTTTGTTTTTTATTTTGGGGGCCACACCCAGCAATGCTCAGGGGTTTCTCCTGCTCTGCTCTCAGGAATTATTCCTGGCAGTGCTCAGGGGACCATATGGGATGCCAGGGTTCAAACCTGGTTCAAACCTGCTGTACCATCTCTCCAGCCCCCGTGGTATAATTTCTTCTACTTCATATGAGGCAGTCAGATATTTTTTCATCATAGATTCAACTTCTTTATTTATTAAAAAAATAAAGAAGAAGAAAATTGGTTTGGTTTTGGATCACAACCAGCAGTGCCCGGGGATCATTCCTGGCAATGCTTAGAAGAACTGTATGCAGTGGAGGGAATTGAACCAAGGTCTGCCCCATGCCAGGAAAGCTCTTTACCTGATGTACTGTCTCTCGGGGTCCTCAACTCTGCTTTTTAAAGCCCACTGAAATCATTCTGAGTCTCACTGAGATCTGCAGTGTGAAAAATCACTGCACTGGAGGGTCTGGACCCAGGAGGGCGCCATCCTGCAGTTCCCAGCAGAGGGCGCCAGAGACCACATGTGTCAGGCGCATCAAGACAAAGCCCGAGGCTTCCTCTGGGTCACCTGCTGT